AGGCAGTGAGAATCTGTTCCCATTTTCAATTAGCCCATTACATATGCACCATGAACAGCTGAATTTCATCAAAAGTTTGTTTGGATATCTGAGCTTGATTATGTGGATTATTTTCTGGACTGGTTTAAATGGAGCAAATTACTAGCTTATATGGCCTCTCTCTTAAGCGCTTGCATTTGATGCAAGGACAAGCAATTGTAATTGTAGTCTCTCTGACTGTTATTTAATTTCTTTTGTCTTTGCCTCTTTTGAGATTGCATTTTATCCTTTCGCAGTTTCTATCAATGAAACTTGCAACAGTGAATCCGAGGCTGGATTTGAACATAGAAGGACTCCTTGCGAAAGATGTGTTTGATCCCAAGGTTTGCATGACCAAGAATTTGCTAATGGATCACTAAAATGCAACTTCATATGCTTTATCTGAGCCACAAAAATATTTTGTATTGTCAGATTCTTCAGTTGCATGCTGTTCCTCCATCCTCTCTGGCATTTTCCTTGGAGATGCCTATGGCTTATCCCCCATCACATCCATCTCAACCAGGACTTATTCCCACAGCTTTTCCTGGAATGGACAATCACTCTGACATAATACGTAGAACCATTAATTCCCAATTGACACCCATGACTGCAGGATTCAAGGAACCTGCTCCGGTACATCTACAGGTGGATTTTTATTTACTGTTACCTTGTTGCTTGTTTTTTTTTTTAAAAAAAAAAGAAAAAAATCCACGAATAGTAGTACATGGTGCTAGAAATACTTTTGTATGGAAGATTTATGTGGATAAGATCTAAATTGTTGCATTGCATATAGAAATTAATCAAACCCTTAGGCATAGAGTCTCTAGGAATCCTTTATGCAACCCTTGCAGGATAATTGTGGACTCAGACTCTGCATGCATATTTGTCTCTTAATCAAAACACTCGTGATATCTTGACCTTGAACTACAATTGAAACTTTCCAAAGATTTACCAATTAACGGAATTATTATTTCCACTTGGCTCTTCTGAATCCCTTGCGTTACAATTTGCCTTCGTTTTGGTATTCTTGACAACAGCTACCCAATGTATGGGATGATGAGCTCCGCAATGTTGTCCAGATGAGCTATGGAACCAGTGCTCCCCACGACAGCCAAGATGTAAATAGTATGACTCTACAGTTTGCCATATAATATGACCCGTGCTATAAGCTAAATAATGCTGAGCTGAACATGCGTCTTTTTTGTTGCAGAGCTACTGCCACCAGGCCATTTGAAAGTTGAGCTTTAATTTTCTCCTTGGTCTTGATGCGTTGTATCCTGGCCTATATGCCTGTATTAATATTCTCTAGGATTAGAGAATGGAAAAATCACAGATGCTTCTGGCTGATCAGTTTGAAGCCTGGAGGTTAGTTGCAGGTCTCCAGCAGGGTTATGAGAGTTTGGATGGCTGTCACCTGTTGTCGAGCTGGGGTTTTACCTGATGACCGGTGAAGGAATTCAATACCACCCCCGCCGCCATGCTACTTTCATTTGAGTATTGTAATCCTTGTTACCAGAAATGCGAAATGGATAATCTTTAGGGTATGAATTTAAAAATGTATAGATTGACCTTCCAATGATCACAAAAGTTAGGCTAATGGGAAGCTCATGTGTAATTTACAAAACCATGGGAATTCCCTCAGCGACAATATGTGATGTTATTCTTTTTTCTTTTTCATTTTCTGTTGCGGAGCCTGCAGTACTTATGGCTTCTGGGATGCAAATTTTTTACTAGCGTTTGCCACTTAAATCAGGTCAAAAACATGTAATTAGTATAGCGCTCTGTGAAACTCAAGTTCTTCTAGTAGTTTAGTTCTATTAACCTAGAAAAGTAATAAACCTTATGCTTGCATTTTTCAACAGTTCATTTTCCATATTAGTTTAGTGCTATGCAATTGTTAAACCCTGCTATCTTATCAACTTTCAGTGCAAGTACAGTTGCATTGCCAGTTTGCAACTCTCTTTTTTTCCCACCCCATCCCCGCCAAAAATAAAATTGTCAATAAAACAATGTCGAATTCATCAAAATCCTACTCTTCATTGCTAAAACGAATCCCCAGACCAAGAAGCTCCATTGCCGAGTAATCAAGACCCTAACAAACCCAGACACCTTTCTCTGTAACAATCTCATTGACGCGCATGGTAAATCAGGCAATATAACCTACGTGCTCCATGTGTTTGATGAAACGCCTCAACAAACTCTTTTCATGGAACATTATGCTTTCTGCTAATTCAAAATCTGGGAATTTATCAAAAGCTATGTAAGAGATCTTTAGTATCATGCCAACCGAGATTCCGTCTCTTGGAACTCGTTTATTTCGGGGTATCTGCGCAATGGTTCAGTTATGGAGGTAGTTAAAGCTTATAGCTTGATGTTGAAAGATGGGGTTTATAATTTGAATAGGATTACATTATCGACAATGCTTATGTTGGTATTGAGTCAAGGGTGTGTTGGTTTGGGTAGGCAGATTCATGGGCAGGTAGTGAAATTTGGATTTGGGGCCTGTGTTTTTGTAGGGAGTCCTTTGGTGGATATGTATGCCAAAACGGGATTAGTTTCCGAGGCAAAGCAGGTTATTGACGAGGTTCAAGAGAGGAGCATGTTAATGCATGATACGATGATTGCAGGGCTTTTGAGTTGTTGGGTGGTAGAGGATTCAAAGAGGCTGCTTCATGATATGAAGGAAAGAGTTTCCATTTCGTGGACAATGACGATCACAAGGCTTTCAGAATGGAATGGAGGCGAAGTTATAGATTTGTTCAGAGATATGGGGCTAGAAGGCATGGCGATGAAACAGTACACATTTGGCAATGTGTTGACTGCATGTGGGGGGCTTATGGTTTGAAAGAGGGAAAGCAAGTTCATGCTATTACAATTAGGAATGAATATAACCACAATGTCTTTGTTGGTACTGCTCTTGTTGACATGAATTGCGGAAGCAGGCAAGAGAATGGCATGTAAGAATGTTGTCTCAGGGATTGCTATGTTAGTGGGTTTTGGCCAGAAAGGGTTCAGCAAAGAAGCTGTTAGAGTTTTTGTGACATGCAAAAGAATGGGATTCAACTAGATCATTTTACTCTAGGAAGTGTAATTAACTCACGTGCAAATCTAGCTAGCTTAGAAGAAGGTGCCCAGTTTTATTGTCAAGTCCTAGTTTCTGGTTTGATTTATTTCATAACCGTCTACAATGCACTCATTACTTTGTATGGTAAACGTGGAAGTACAGAAGATTCTAATCAGCTGTTCAATGAAATGAATTTCACGGATGAAGTCTCTTGGACAGCATTGATTTCAGGATATGCACAATCTGGAAAAGCTCATGAAACAGTGGATTTATTTGAAAGAATGCTGGCTCAAGGTTTAAAACCTGATGCTGTTACATTCATTGCGGTACTTTCAGCTTGTTCTAGACCAGGGTTAGTACTTAGGTGGAGAGAGGAAAACAGTGAATCAATGCTAAAAGACCATGGAATAATTCGTTTTTATGATCACTACAGCTGCATGATTGACCCTTTTAGTCGAGCAGGAAGGCTTGAATAAGCCAAAAGTTTTATCAGTAAGATGCCTTTTACTCCCAATGCAAGGCAATGAGGAAATTAGAAAATTGGCAGCTGAGTCTCTTCTAGAACTAGAGCCCCAGAACCCTGCAGGCTACATCTTGCTCTCCAGCATCTATGCTGCTAAAGGAAAATGAAGCGATGTAGCCAGACTAAGAAGAGGAAGAGAGAAAAGGGAGTGAGAAAGGGACCGGGATTCAGATGGATCATGTATAAAAGCAAAGTTCATATTTTCTCCCCAGATGACCAGTAAAGTCCCTTTTCTGATTAATGCTGAGCTGGAGAAATTAAACCAAAAAATGATAGAGAAGGGTATGTACCAGATGCAAGTTCAGTGCTTCATGATGTTAAGGATTTATAGAAGATAAAGATGCTACCACCATAGTGAGAAGCTTGCAACTGCTTTTTGTTCCTCGTGGCCTTCCCATACGAGTAGTAAAAAATCGGAGGGTCTGTGGGGATTGCCGCAATGCAACTAAATATATTTCCAAGATTACTCAGAGAGAGATACTTGTAAGAGATGCTGTCAGGTTCCATTTATTTAAAGATGGAAAATGTTCATGTGGAGATTTCTGGTGATATACATCTGTTACAGTTCAAAGCTGCGTGAACAAGATTACAAATCAATATGTACCATAGATAAACCAAGATCAAGAGTTTTTGAGAAGTTACCAGAGATAAACCAAAGATCAAGAGTTTTTGAGAATTGAGACAGTGATCGTGCCTGCTTCGCAGGAGTATCACTGGAGCTCTAGAGGAATCCTTTTTTCTCCATCAAGGATTCTAGAAGAATGTCTATATAATCTTGAAAGAACCAAGATCCCTGATAGTAAAAAATGTTATGTCCAAACTCAAGCTACATTTTTCATATCTTATTCAGTTCCATGTACTATGGCATGCATGTTGTTCTCATGCATGTGACTCTCATGTCATCCGTGTCCCATGTCCTTTCTATTAATCATAAGTTCTATGACATGCGTGCACGCACACATGCACACACCAGTATCAAGCATAAGTTTATAACAGAAAACTCGTTCAAAAGGTATTGTCAGGGCCAAGCTGCTGCTGATAGTTCTATGTATCAACTATTTTACCAAAGTTAGTGACATAATTGTTACATTGATCAAACCGGTGAAGCTGAAAATTATGAAGCTTTCAATCTCTCTTAAGACACTTGGTAAACTTGCACATCCATTTATTTGATTCAATCAATAATTAGATATTTCTAAGTTGAGAGCAGATCACGAAATGTGTTATTAGCAAGTCTGCAGAACTCAAAAATTTATCAATACATGCCATATGAATTAACAACCCACATCTGTAACAAAAGAATCAGTACATTACTAGGGTGGCATATGCATTTTTTTTGCATCATGGAGCCTCCCTGGGCTCGCATGCTGACCAAAATAAATTACCTTTCAGAAATGAAATCGAAAAGAAAAGGGAGTATTTTCCATTTTGGAATTATGAGTATAAATATACAAGAGGTGAATCTGAAGAACACATGGATGATGAGGACACAGACTTCATTCATATTGCTGTGATGTTTTGATGGACTCCTCGAGTTTGCTGCTGGTTCTGCATCAGGTTGAAGAGAAGCCGGTTAAAGTAAAAAAAAGAAAGAAGTCCTGCTGGATGGGAACCTCAGTATGGGATTAGAGAAGATAAAAAGAATTACCTGCAACTTGCTACATATGTCAATTACTTCAGCTAGAGGAGCCCAATCACCAAAGTTCCTCTCAATGAACTGATAAGCTATGCCACTCTTTTCCCTGCCAACTATAAGGAGTCCACCCTTTATTTCACCTTCTCCTTTGAAGTTTTGCTCACTTCCTGTAGCTTTTGCACGCTTGTAATTTGCAATAGCTCGGGGATTGAAAATAAATCCTGAAATAAAACTGTCCTTAAGTAGCTGCCCACCTCCAAGAGCTTTGAAGAACTTCATACTCCTATCAAAGAGCACAACACCACCCCAATATCGAGGCCAGAAGTTTTTGACCTGCAGACCAACAGTAGCGTATCAACTGTTAAAGAGAGAGAGAGAGAGAGATTAGATCGTTAAGCTAAAAGTCCTCTAGATACCTCTGACTCAATATGTTCATGGAGAACTGCAAATAGTCGAATTCCCAGTGCATCAAATATGGGTTTTTTGACATAAAGCTGGTGAGCCTCAGCCCTGCACATGATGCACCTGTTTTGAAATTCACAATCAATTGCATGGCTTAAAGGGCAGCTGACCATAGTTAAAAAGTTCATTTATCCATCCATGTTATTTGGGAGCATTCGAGTCTACATATTTTTCTATAGCTAATTAACAGGCTTTTGATTTCTTAAGCTTCCCACATATTACCCCTACATCTTATTTTTTTATTGTGTATATACTCTTATAAACTCTTATGATTTGCAACTGTATGCTATATCACCCTAATCCAGCCGATAAAACAAGGCTATCGGCACAAGAAGGCTACAAGGATGCAGAATACAGGTGTTTACCCAGGTCGCCTGATGCAAAGGATTACTGCTGGTTTATCTTGCCATAATTCTGAAGCCTTCATTGGAGGTGTCTTGGTTTTCACCAGACGCTCCATCCCAATCTTATACTCTGGTGTTAGTTTCTCAACTGAGATGTTTTCAATAGCAGAATAAGGGGCAACACTGTCAACTATAGGAGGCGGTTGTACACAGCCACATGCTCTGGGCTCAGCTGGCCCTGCAGCTACAATCCCTTTAAAGATGTGATCATCTTTAATCTTAAAATCAGCGAGTGATTGTTCAAGTGGTTTATCATGATTCATACTACTACTGGCTTGCATCTTCCTTGAGTTGACAGATGCATAACTCTTGAAATTGCTATTTTTTCTGGAGGCTATGCTGTTCATGTTCCTTGCAGTGAAAGGAGCGTATGATTTGAGCAAAGGATCTGCACATGCACTGGTTCTGTCCACGAAACGAGCTATGTGACCTCTCTTCATCCCAAACTGAGAGGAGAGATCCACAGTGCTTATGCTAAGAAGCTCGGGCAAACATTTCCCAGAGGCCTCCAGCTTATCCCCATATTGCAGTAGAGCACGATCATGCAGGTATGACCTGATTTCCAATGCATCCTAGAGAGAGAGAGAGAGAATTGGAATTTGATAGTTTATAATGAGTTGGATCAAAATTTTGACGACATTTTTCGTTAGTTGACAGTGAAGAAGCCAATATTTGTTAGATAACAGATTTTGATCAAATGAAAAGTGAAAAGCAAATTCCAAGTAACCAACCTTTTGCTGTTGTGTCATGTTCATTGCATCCGTATCCTCTTCATTCATAATCTTCAAAGTTGGTACATCATCCCAACCTTCTTTCAACAACGTTGGAAGCAAGTCCTTCAGAACTCCGTTACCTACAAAATCCTCCACTGAGAAAGAAGCCATTTGCCTCTTCAGAAAAAGATGGTGTGATCTCTTGTTGCTAAAAGGGGCCCGGATGAACAAGCTGGTTGTGTTGTCCTCAGGCTAACAGTCAGCTACAAAATATAAACCTTAAGTGTTTACTTGGACAATGTTAGTGACCAAACATGGATTGACATAAACCTTTTATACAAGTTTTCTTCTTCTTCTTCTTCTGATAAGTACAACAAGCCTGTCCTAGTTGATGATGATATTTTATAAAATCTTCTAACGTTGCACAGATCGGTAAGTTGATTGACCAAGTGTTTTGATATTAGCAGTTAAGTTATTTTACCTCTTGGTATAACACTGAAATCCATGTACATTCCTTTGCATAAACTGTTGAAAAATCAGAGTGAAATTATGCCATATTAGAGAAAGAATGGAGGCTAATTTACAAGAGCTAGAAACAATGTGAACACTAAGAACATTGCTTGGAGACGGTCAAAAGATTCCCAGAGAGATTGAGAGAAAGGAAAACGAAACGGCACAAGAAGAGCTCAACAAGTAGACTGCAATAGAATATTGAAATCGTAACAGAGTTGACCCACAATGGCGGTGGGTTTTCCATTGCCGGCTGAAGCCTGCTGTGCCTATGTTGCCTTGGAGTTGTTGTTTGTTATTTGCCTATATCGTCGACTGCTGTAGGATGTCTTGTAAGTAACGTGAAATTTCTATTGGATATCTTCCAATTTTTTTATTCACCCTTGTCTGCCGCCGCCTGCTTGCAGTACGTTTGTACTGAAGATAGAATTACTCCTGAAAATCTGTACTGTGTATAAAAGGTTCGTATAACATTTGTGAAGAGTCTATAATACCCTCGCTTCTTTAACATTTAAAATTATAGTATTTTGTACTTTTCAATTTTTAATTATCTTTTTTTTTTTTTGAAATCTTCTAAATAAGAAACGTATTTTACTGATACCTCATATTCATAATACTATGCCCAGGCGTGAAAACAAATAAATAAAAGTCTTGTTTATTTTTTAGTTTTAAAAATATTTTAAAAAAATTAATTTTTTTTATTTTTTTACTTCAAATTAATATTTTTTTAGGTTTTTAGAACATTTTAATATATTTATATCAAAAATAATTTTTAAAAAATAAAAAAAATATTATTTTCATATATTTTCAAATAAAAAATATTTTAAAAAATAATTATAATCATCCTTTCAAATACGCTCAAAAACCTTTATCGTATGAGTTTATTACAAGAAGCACCCAAATGTCTTTTGTTAGTAGATTTTTTTCAAAGGGTTTGTGAAACAATAAAAAAACTTAATTATTTTTTTAATTAATTTTTCTTTAATTGAGTTTGTATTTACCCCATTTTTTAAATTTATTTAAAAAATAATCAAATCCTTCTTGCAAATTAAGAATCTTAGATAAAAAAAATTAAGACAAAAACTTACATACTTTCCAAATAAACATCATACTGTATATTAGGCATGAAGAAAAGGAAAAGAATCCTAGTTTAGAACCCTTCTTATCATTAAATTTGTTTATAAAACACTTTTATTTGTATCTGGCGGACTAAGAACTTATTCAATCAATAAATTAAGTCCTAATTGTATAATCAAAATATATAGATGTGTAATTCTCTTGTAAAAAGCTACGGTTTTATTCTTTTATTTTAAAACAAAATGATTTTTATTTTACAGTGAGCAACAATCTATGCAGTATTGTTTAACGACAAGATCGACAAGTAGGTGTGAATCTTAAATCAATCGCTACAATGCAATCTGCAAAATTTTCGAGGTGGCTTCTCAAAAGGCAATGCTCTTTTTACATAGAAAAAATCCAGTTTGCTTGTACAGGATGTTTCAAACATCTGTTCATGTCCAATCTTGTTGAACCGGACGTTCCAAACATCCCCATCAACATCTTTCTGCAACTCTGTGAACAAAATTCAAAACTATGAAACCATTTCGAAGAATTGTTCTATGTCATTACGGAAAAGGCATTCCAAGATCAGACCTTTGAATTTCTCCAAAAGCACTTGAGAAACCACCAAGATCTATTAGAAGTTTCGTGACTTCGAAGCCAATATCTATATACACCTGCTTTTTTGTCAATATAAAGCAAGTCCCAGCTCTCCTTTTTTAAACGACACGAAACTATACAAAAATTTCATTTTCACTAATTTACGATAGCATGTTTAATATGTATATCCTTAATATGTATATGTATATGTATATCAAAATAAATTAGTATTATAAATTATTATTTTTTAATTATTGATAAGAAATTTTGAACTTTCATTTAGTTTTATTAGTTTTAAATAATATAATGTTTTAGAACATTATAAAATACTATATATTTTTAAATAACTTGTTTTTTATATATATATGTGTTCTTAGATTTAGTGTAGATAAGGTGTTTCTGCAACACTGCTCTTACTTTGCCTGTCCTGGACTGGGAATTCGAATCGTTACAGTTCACATAATAACACTCCCATGCTTGACATGCCTTTATCACTATGAGATTACACTTGAAACCAGAACTTGTTTGCGTTCAAAAGCAGCAGTATATTGCACTAGGATTCTACATAGTATAGTGGGAAGTAAAGAAATTAGGCATCTTATTCAAATGCCTCAATATCCTCTCAGCCATCTGCCTTGTATCATTATCCCCATGGTGAAAAGCATTGACCAGAGTGGCAGGCAACAACCTGTCCTGTGATATAGCTGAAGCACACCTACTCCCTCCTTTTACCAAGAATCTATCAATTAACCAGAAGGATTTTTTCCATAAACATTCTCCCTTGTGTTCTTTCACAGCATTCAGAACATGTTGGATGGTATTCACTTCACACAACATGCCAACACTCATCTCAACATCAACTTCGTCATGTAATAAAGTACATACTGCTGACAAAGCAGCTTCTACAACCTCAACATTTTCATGGTCCAAACATGCCAGCAATCTCTCCACTGCTTTTGCGTCAACTAAACAGAATGTGTTTTGCGAGGAACAAGCCCCTCTATGGACCGGGCACAAAGGTAGTTTTCTCTTTTTTGATGAAATGGAAGACAGGAATTTCGGTGGGTAGAAGAGTTTCAAGAACTTGGTTTTCTTTATTTGTGGTGGTTTTGATAAATTTATGGATTCCACCGAGAGATTCTCCAATCCAATTGCTGATAACCTCTGAACTTCATCACTTGATGTTTTCATGAGCAGTTCTGTGAATACTGAGGTGAAGTTGTAGTGTCTTGCTAGAAACAGTATTTGAGGTTCGTAAAGTGTGGTCGTGAATCTGACCAGAATGCTTACTAGTCCTTCCAAGTAAGGAATTACATACCTGCCGGTTCTTATACCGGTTCCTTGGATTTGATTGATTTGTTGTAAGATTGCAGGGACTGTATTCTTTCTGAGAAGAGCGAGATTTAGTGTGAGGCTCTGGTGGGGGAGTTTAGCAAGAAATGTTGATGAAACTGCCTGCTTCTGTGTGATTCGGGTTGTTTCATTTCTGCCAAGGATTAAGTTCTCGGGTTGACCCGCAGTTTTGCATAGTCTCTCTACTATAATGTGTCCCATGTAAGGTATAAGCACGATGAGTAGCTTGATTGCTACGATCCCAAGTTCTTCATGGGGGTTATTGAGGAGTTCAACCAGGGTGTAGCTTGCTTCACTCTCTTTGACCATGGAGACAATGGTGCTCATTGATCTCGGAGACTTGGCCAGGCACAAAAGAATTCTAATGAGATTGATGTTGAGGTCATCAGGAGTTGAATGCTTGATCATCTCAATGAAGTTATACAGAACATAGTCTGAAGCTAATCTGTGGCCGTGAGAATTTACTTGGAGGTTCTCAAGGTCAAGCCCAGCCTCAAGTATATTTGCTAGTATTGCAGCGGCTTCATTTTTTGAGTTTATTGGTTCACCGTAGATTCTTCGAGTGAATATCTCTTCAACCATAATTTGAATGATTCCAGATTTTGCAAGTATTTTGGCATTAGGATGGCAGGATGCGATTTTTGCTAGAGCTTTGAATGCTGCTGTTCTGGTCAGAGTGTTTCCACCATGCACCATTTTGATAAGAGGTGGAGAAGCCCTCTCAGCCACATAAGTTTCTCTGTCATTTCCAAGGGCAATTTCCCCAAGGTATTCTGCCATTTCTGTCTGCATTTCCTCGGAACCTGTTTATTTTGAATTTCCATCAACGTTGTTGAGGCATGTAATATTTATTTGCACACAAGGAAATTCTTTTTCATTATTTAAGCTGTCCAGAAAAACCAATTCTCTTAAACTAATTATCCACAATTAGAGTGACTAGTTCGAACCATTTTAATTAAAAGAAAGAAAAACATCGCCATTCAACATGCTTGCTAATGCATCAATTTTTTTTTTTTCACAAGACTTCCAGCTATGCTTTTGGTAGAGTGTGAGAGGTTTCAGGAGTTACCTTCAGTGAGATGCTTTAGAAGGGGTTCCAAGAGTCCATTTTCTGCCATCTTCTTGATATTTTCTGGAGAACTCTCTAGATTCTTTAAGATTTCATCTGCTTTTTCTGAAGAGAAGGCATCATCAGGCTGATTGTATTTTATTCTGATCAGCATCAGAATTCCTCCAGGAACTGACCCAATTTTCTCCTGCAATGATTCGGACCTTGATAGCTCAAGTAGTAGTAGTAATGCTGCATGCCTTATGTGCTGGTGACCACTTGACATCATCTTGATTACTGTTGACATGTCCACCATTTCAGATATCATTATCTGCACAGAAAATCACCAGAGTTGAGTTACAAGTCCAGGAAATTGTGTTCATGGATGTCAATGGCTTATTTTCTAGATAAATGTGTATCCTCATGTTAGGTTCATATTCAGACCCATAGAGAACAATTTGAATTGTTGAGGCTTCTTCAAAAAAGATGCATGTTACATATAACCGAAGTTTCAGCCATGTTTTGGTCAATTATGGTGGTCTAATTGCTAAGCAATTGCAGGTGAGCTTCCTTGGAGGCAAATGCACCGACTCACATAAAAGCCTCCCCGGCAAGCAAATGGCTTGGTTGATTGTGTGTTCGCTGGTAATATAAACTTTTTGCGAAATAAGATGAAGACTATGGGTGTCTTTTTAAAAATTGAACAGTTTTTGTCCATGATGATAATACTGGTAGACATTGGTTTAACTTCTCTCCGCATTGCCTAGTCTTAGAACATTGAGACAGAAATTTACTTGTGACTGCAAATTTCCTCTGGATGACATTCTAAAATCAAGACACATGCACGCAAACGCACATGTACTCTACCTTTTCTTTTACTTATGATGTCATGTAAACATTTTAGGAAAGAAGAGCACAACCTTGTAATCATCATCCTCTTTTGTCAACTCTCGTAATAACTCCAGTGCTGCATATCTAACATCTCTATCCTTGTACTTCAGAAGCTTACAAAGCAAGGGAAGTATTCCAGCATTGTGAACTTGTATCTTGTTATACTGTTTCCTTTTGTAGATGTCTTGCAAATCCCTTATTGCTTCAAGCACCATACTCGGTGAAGCAGACACAAATAAAGCTGAACGTGAAATATTTATCCTTGCTACCACGTTTCTTTCTTTCCATTCCTCTATTGTGGTCTTGAGAGCTACATTTGTTTTTAGAACGCTGCTCAGCAGCTTCTGCCCCGTGGTTGGGCAGAAAATTCCCTGCGAGTTATTGGACTCTGCCAACCACTCGGTAATTGCTTTCCTGTCATATGTCACTCCACTTTGTAAGGTCACTGGATCATCCATGATCTGCTTCGTTAATGGACAGTAGAAAGTTTGATA